TAGAATATTTTTGCAAAGTTTCAGCTTCGCAGCCTGTCTGGTAGGCGAAATAGCTAGTTTACAAATATCTTTGAAGTGTCGTAAGTCGTGACGCAAGCGCAAATCGAAACTCAGTTTAGGTGTACGATTTCCATATGAACAGTAGATATTCTGATAAAATTTCACCTACTTTTCCGACTAGTTTTCGAGTTAGCACAGTGACAAGTGCAAACTTTGACATGACCGTACGCGCGATATAAGGGCGTGCGATAGCTGAATTTGAAAGCTTTAGTTGATACATTCATAGAGAATATCACTGCAATATTTCAGCTTTTTGTCTTGTCTGGATAATGAGATTGTTTTTCGTCAAAGAAATCTGCAATTTTTTTCGGTGTTCCTTGAGCGAGAATTTCATCTTTGGCGTCGCGCACCGAGTGGTCCGTGCGAACATGCGTTTTTGCAGTGTTACGTGCTGTAATGAGATCGCTCTGAAATTCAGTAGCCAAAAATGTGTGACATACTGGTCCTCGATTTCGCGAAGTTAATTGTCCACGCTGTACTTGGACAGGAAAAATCCACTAAAATTTCAACCTCCCAACTTTTCCACTTCCCGAGTTATCCATATTTCAGCCAAAAATTTCACGGGGTCGTATGTGACAACCACGCATAACTGGGAGCTGAATTTGATAAATTTAAGTTGTACGTGGGCTCAAAATAGCCCCTTAAAATTCCAGTCTCACGGCATTCTTGGATCCCAGGTTAGCGATTTTCTCGCCAGGAACCCTCGCGGGGCCGTACGCAGGAACCACACACACTTCGGGGCTGAATTTGAAATCTTTGAGTTCTAGATGGACGGGGAACATAACCTCAAAATTTCAGCTTTCTAGCTTTTCTAATTCCCGGGCTAGCGATTCTTCCCCCAAAACTTTCACGTGCTCACACGCGGGGTATAGGCGTGGACGAGGATTGGTACCGCGACCCTGAGGTGGCACTTGGCCGCGAAACCCACTCGCAAAATTTTGGCCCCGGAGCTTGCTTGGGTGCCGAGTTAAAATACCCGGACAGACACGCACACACCGTGGTCGTCGCAATATGCGTTTTCGCATTTGCATATATGCAAAAATACATAAAAACGAGGGGTGACACATGGGGTGGGAATATAACCCCCAAATTTCAGCATTCCAGATTTCCTGGTTGCTGAGTTGACAGTGGTGACAAAGTCCCCTCTCTTCTGGACACACACACACCGACGACCTCCCACTCACTAAAGCAGTGCTATCGCTACACAGCAAAAACGCACTGCGCAGGTAAGCCAGTGTTTTGGCATCGCCAAAACCAGCTTATAGGTGAACAGCGCCATGGGAAAAAGGACAGTCACGTCTAGGACAAGAAATAAGAAAGCTTTACAATTTCCAGTCAACCTGAAGCGATAATCTGAATGGCCGCTGAATTGCGCTAATTTTACACGCTTGCGGGGAATCGAGAAAGGAAAATCTCCAGAGAATCGAGCTAGAAAGGCTGAGTGCCCTTCATCACCTGCACTATCAAATCAAGCGCGTACTGAAGCGCAGTCAGTCGCAAAAAAAGGTCGGATTGTATCTGTAACTAAGAGGACTCTGAGACGGATGGTACTTTTGTCCTTTCATCGCTATCTAGAAGTCAATACGGTGCCAAATGCGAGGCCGTCATGACCACGAGAGAAAGCAAAATTCCTTGGTGGCGCACTTTGCTAGTTGTATTGTCGTCGGTGAACGCTGCAAATAAGTGGAAGAAAGGAATCGACGGGTATGAATGGGGGCGTGTAATCCAGAATAAGAGGATCTAGCAAAGGTATGCTCGACATGCGCCACTTCTTGGTTACGCCCGTTGTGGTTTCCAGGTTTGTCTTTCGATTGACGCTTCTGATCTCGCGACGA